TTTTACGTCTCGGACAAATTTACGGTCGGATTCGCGGCCTGTCTCACTTCCAATTTCTAAATTCAACGATCATGGAATATATCTCAAACTAATGAACTTAACTCGATGAAACTTGGTACACGTATTCATTAGGACCTAACGGTAATATTTAGCTCGTGAAATTTTTTTTTATTTTGCCTTCATTTGTTTTTGCCATAGTTAAATGGCAATACGGGCCGAAATTCAAAGTGATCAATGAATTTATTCCAAACTACTGAACATATTCGAACGAAATTTTGAATTTACAATCCTAACTACCCAACAGTAATGTTTAGCTGGTGAAAATTTTTTCGATTGTGCCTTCGTTCGCGAGTTTTTTTTTACCTTCATTCGTGATTTAAACAGCAATACGTGCTTAAATTCGCAGTAATCAAGAAATTTCTTCTAAACTACTAATGCCCAATTTTGCTTGAGCTTCCGCAAGAAGGCGGCTATGAATTTCTCAGCGATTCCCAACCGTTGCTTGTGCGTAGAGATATGTAAATATGGCAGCACACGGTGGCAGTGCGTCAGTGTCGCATCAGGCAGGCCAGTAGATTGTTTCTCTTACGCGTCACCAGCCCTCCAAGCCACACTGAACTCGAAGAGCACGACCGACTACCTGAGAGTGCAGCCAATATACAACCTGAATAAACCGCCCCAGGGCACTTGCATCGTCACTGGTGAGTGTTCTTATGTATTTGTTCTTTTGATCATTTATAAAAAGAATTATTGATTCGTTATAATATGGGTTATCCGCCTCAATAGATAATATTAATGTATATTATATTATTTTATAAAAGTTCTTTAGCAAGATGGGAGAAAGCTGATGCTCAGTACAGCCGTAATTAAAACACAGCTCTTAGTCAAGGAACAGTGAAGTACCCCGAAATAGTGAAATATATAGTAAAACAAAAATTGTTGAGGCCTCTAGAAATGCTATTAATTACCAGCTAAGTAATTAAAGGTAATAGATAAAGTAAAAGGCAGTAAATCCTGCGCGACAGATCACCAGTCCGGACACAAGATGCGTCTCAGGGCCTCCGGTGTTCTGCTGCTGCTCTTCATGGCGCTCGTGGTGCGCGGTCAGCCTACGAGGGACGCTGGCACCTCGTGTGTCCACTGTCCGCCTGACCACCGCTGGCCAAGACCTGATTTTGATTGGCCAAGACCNATCCGCACGAAAACATGCATCTGCGCTTAGAATTTCCGATCGCACAGTTAGGCGAATTCTGCACCAAGACTTAAAATTCCACCCTTACAAACTGGCAGTGGTGCAAAAACTAAATCCACGTGATTTTGTTTCACGACAAAGGGCATGTGAAGCCATCGTTGAAAACTTGCCTAACAACGCACTTGTGTTTTTTAGTGATGAAGCACATTTTCATCTGTCAGGGTGTGTGAATAAGCAAAACATGCGATATTGGAGTGGTGTGAACCCCCGAGAACTTCATGAGAAGCCCCTTCATGCAGAACGAGTGACTGTTTGGTGTGCCTTATCCAGGACTGGCATCATAGGCCCATGGTTTTTTGAAGAGAACGATAGGGCAGTTACAGTCACTTCTGAACGGTACATTCAGATGATTCAAGAGTTTTTCCTTCCAAAACTTGATGAACTTGGTGTAAGAAATGTGTGGTTTCAACAAGATGGGGCCACGGCTCACACAGCACGCGCTTCAATGGCTCTCTTGCGCGAACACTTTCCACAACGCGTGATCTCCTTAAGGGGCGATCTCCAGTGGCCAGCGCGCTCGCCGGACTTAGCCCCCTGCGATTATTTTTTGTGGGGATACTTGAAATCCTTAGTGTACACCAATCGTCCGAGGACCCTAGCTGAACTGAAGAACAACATTCGCGTTGCTATTGCTGACATTGGTCCAGACATGCTTGAGAAGGTGGAGCGAAACTTCCGATCTCGTCTGACAAAATGTATTGAACAGCATGGAGGTCACCTACAAGATGTAATATTCCTGTCTCTTATACACATCTAGATGTGTATAAGAGACAGATGTAGCTCTTTGTAAAAAAGAAAGAATTAAAACGCTATCTTTAATACTTTTTACTTTGTGATTTTTTTAAAAGAGTAAGTTCCCACGCCGCACCCTGTACTAACAAGGTTGTCAAGTTCCAAGCCTATTATGAGTGGACATTAGTCCCATCAAATGATAACAATAATAGCGGTATCAGCGTTCATTAGGCCGTAGGCCTGTCGCCGATTCTTAACATTGCAGAACATTGACAGCTTGTTGCGGTGTCGAGCCCGCGCCTCTCTGCTATCCTGGTACTCTAAATATCTCTGCTATCCTGGTACTCTAGACTGTAACCACTGGGCGATATGAAGTGCCTTCGCTACAAACTCAACCTCCCTGATGCAAGCAAATGTCGGGCATCGCATTCCACCAAGAGGGTTAATTATTTGCACCAAGGTACGCAGCTACCGATTCTATGTCTCGTATTTAAATGCACGAGGTGACTCAGCGATGCAGAATTTTGAATAAATAATCAAGTGAAATTTCTTAATCCGTTACCACTTCATTTTAAATTTAACAACGTAGAGAAAGAAATACAAATCTAATGCTCTAACGGACAAATTCACTTGTACAGGAAACCACCCCCAAACCATCAGCCATATGACTCATCATGACACTTGCGCTCTTTAACAATAATTGGATCAAATCAAGCGCATCCTGCACTGAGCCGCGCGTCCTTAAGAGTCCCGTTCACGGACGCTCCAACTCTCAACTCGGCACACTGGGCGAACGCACGAGTCAACTTTTGACTCGTACTGTTCAAATTTGTTCAGGGACTGACTGACGGGTATCACTCATCAATAGATAATATAGCAATGCTAGCTAATTTGAAATTTGTAACATTGAAATGTCAACATTATTTGAATATATACTCATGGATTCATAATTAATATCGTTGCAAGTATTTTTTCAACGAGTTATTCTATATCCATGAATGATTTATGCCAAATTTTATTATAAAAGGATTTATTAGTATCTTGTGATAAGGAATTAGAATTTCTGATAAAAGGACGCTAATATTACATGAATTTGTTATTTTCTTCTTTATCAGTGCATTGTATTACAAAGCTGATCTATACCGACTTGGAAATGCAATTTTAACGATTAGTTGAGCACTCACACCCAACCCTAGAATGTCGCTCTATGTTCTTGCATAAATTTGAACACGAATTACCGGTAATCCATGATAAACCTACGAGCACTTTTTGCGTGGTGTGCCTTTCTAGGTTTATTTTTTTGAGTGCCGTTGTGCCGAAATATAAAAATATAACTCAGTACTCACTGCAGTGAGTGACAGAGAGCGCATTTTTTCAAAATCGACGAAAACGTGAAGTCACATGCAGACAGACAGACGGACGCACGCACGGACAGACGGACGGACATGACGAGCACAATTGCGCATTTTTAGCGCATTGTCTCATTTATGGAAAAAATTTACTATCGTGCTCGACATTACCACGTTTTCGTCAATTTTGAAAAATGAGCTCTCTGTCACTCACTGCAGTGAGTACTGAGTTATATTTTTTCCATAAATGAGTAAATGCGCTAAAAATAGCATATATATGAAAAATTTCCCACAATACGAAGCCAATACGAGGAAATAACTCATCAAAATGATTTAGCTCATTATAGCTTTAAAAATTATATATCTATATTTTCCTTTTTCATTATCATATGAATCATCCTTTTTGCAATCACAGTTATAAAAATATGAATCAGCAATTCAGTATGACAGTAATTCAGTAGGCCTAGTCTGACATTAATATTAGAAATTATTAAGCGATGTGCAATGTATTGTTACGGGCTACTTCTAGCAATGAAAAATTTTCTACAGAAGTAAAATGATATGAATTAAAAAACATTTCTTAACCGTTTTTTAACGAATTTCTGATATTTAACATTTCAAAATTGACATGAATGCTCCAATGATTGCATAGTATCATGTACGTATAGAATTTAATATGCTATATTCTAGCACATTTAATTCAATAATTTGCATTAAAATAACCGTTCATGTGGTAGCAAATGGGAAATTTTATATTGAATTGCGCTGTTTATGCATTCATTCTCTTCATATTTTAAAACGTTATTTCGATTATCTCTTAGTAATAATTAAAACACATGATGCTCATTTACGATCTCCTTAACAATATTTACATGTTATGACGATGCAGGGAAACGTGTATTGTTAGTTTCGACCCTTTAAAAGCCACCGCAGCTTCAGATAAGGGCTTCGAAAGGTGATCGAAAGAGACTGCAAAGTGAGGTGGGAAGAAGGAATGTTTACAGAAGTGGTAATACAAAATTTACATAATATATCTTACTGTCCGGTAATTGAAAATAACTAGCCAGAATACCATTGAAATTTCAGACCTGTAACTTATTTAGGAGGGGAGTTATTGGTTGCCTTCATTGTTAAGAACCATCATATAGGGATTAAAGGGACCGACTACCCTCCGGAAAAACTTCTACAGTTATTATCCGATCATCATGAAACTTCACATAAATACGTAAAATGTAAAAATAAGAACATTTTGCTTACATGAATTTTTCGAAAAAATTGATAGAAAACGAGAAATTCATAGAAAACGGCTAAAAGAGGTACTTTAGAAAATCTATCTGCTCCTACAAATATCATCCTACAACATCGAGACACGTATCATTCGGTTCGTAAGGACCATACCTAAAAATTTGATGATCACTTTTCTCATTTTCCCTTAGTTTTTTTTATGCGCGTTTTATCCCATTTTTCTCATTTTTAGCTTTAAGATGAGACTAAGCATGTAACTGCAGCACAACTCAAGTAGAAACTATATTCAAAGATTTCAGCAGCTAATTACTTTATATCTAATTAGTTAAAGAACTCTCCCACCCGATTCCATTTAAAGAGACGTCATGAACGTAAATATTGGCGTACAGCGATGGCAGTGGTACCATTGGAAAGAGCAGAATTCCAGCTTTCAGATGAGCACAAAAACCGGGAAACGCCAGAATTGAAAATTTTAGGGTAGTCGGTCCCCTTAACGCGGCTGGCCTCCTTGATGTTCCCTCTTGATTTAGAAGTCCTGGCAACAACTGCGACCAACCGTTGCAGCTGAAATATTTTTTATTCGGCATTCGTCATCAGTGCTATGAATTCCCAGACTTTGTACGTCATTGGTGCCTGTAGCAATGAAATTGTTTACGCAATGCGTGTGCCGTTTGATATCTGAATTTAGGTATCATCTTTGTTTACAATTAATTGCTATATGCATCCTATAAGTATTTACAAGGACTGAAGTTAGATTTGCACTTAAAATTTAAAATAAAAAATTAACGAGGATAATTTGATAACAATCAAGCTCGCTACACATAAACTCGGGAAAGTTTGCGATGTTTGAGCGCTTGGTAATTAACCAGTTATTTGAGTTCGAGTAATAACAATTTGTGAGCCTTCCAGAACATCCGTACCTATTGTGTACATGCATGTTCGATTACATTTTACATTTAACTTTCCTGTTATGTCATTGGCCAAATGTATCGATTTTTCATAGCAACATTCTATAAGTTGTTTCACAAAAGAAACACACGAGCAGTTTCTTCTGCAAGAGATGGAGCAAAGCCAAATCTCAAATATTTCGGTGAATATTGCCCGTTTTTTTATTAGCATTGTTACGTTGTTTTTACTGGGCACTATGAGTATTGCAACTAACTCTTTATAACACAATAAAACAAGCAGCGATAGACCAGCACGGATCAAATGAATGATGATGATGAACTGAAAGCAAATGACTGTATGCTTCCGCAAACGAGACTTCAGCAGTTTTGAACGTGTTACGAGCTCGTTCGAATTCCTCCAACGATTCAGTGTATAATCAGTATAAGGGGGAGCTATTATATCTTGCCCATCTGGTAACCATCAAAAACAATAAACTGGAACCTCATGAATGATTCCCAAAAATGTATACATCATACAAATACTCTGTTAATGTTCTAAAGGAGTGACAGTGCACTCGGTTGGCTGTACATGCAGTGTGCATGTTTTAGGTTTGTTCGCACCACAATTACATGCAAGCCGAGTTAGACTTAAAATCAGTGTTGCTAATACAAGCGTGCGCAGTCTTGACTCCAGTTAGTTCGTTACATTGTACTGGGGCATCAGAAATTTCTTGGTAGCGTTCGGTATACACCTGAC